CCTGGTGTCTGAGGGGACAGGCAGGACCTACAGTGCCTGGCCTCTCCTGGGGGCTGACTGGAGATCTGAATCTTAGGCTGGCCAGGCTCCTGCTGCTCAAAGAGGAGCCCAGAGAGAGGCCCAGCCCTGCTCGGGTGGGGACATCTTCTGCACAGGATACCAGTGCTAGGAAGACATAAGGGGCAATTCCTGGGAGAGCGAGTGGCATCCTGGGACCAGCTGTGGAGAGGGCCAGCCAGGCAGCTGGGTAGAAATCACGGGGACTTACCGTGCATTATTGGTGGGCTTCCTGGAAAGGGATAGGAGAAAAGCATTAGTCGCTGAAGTGTGGTGGGAGGAGGGGTGTGCACGCGGCAAGGGCACACCCATGTGACTCACAGTCTGATCCCATCTATGAACGCACTGGTGGGTCATGGAGTTATGGCGGTAAGGCCTGTGCTACTAGCGGGAGGCTTCAGGCAGTTCTCCCCAGCTGCTCCCCCAGACCCATCATCACTTGGGGGTCATCAGGGCCACAGCCAAGGTCACAGCACCACTTATTCCTCATTTCCTACTTGTCTGGCATTGTCCTAAGGGTTTACATGCATGAGCCACTTAGGTCCCAGAGCGAATGGAAGGGTGAGAACACACGTGCACGCCAGCTGTGCAGCAGCATGACGGCCCCAGGGTCTGGAAACCCCCAGAGATGAAGTAGCCCCTTCATGGCCTCCTGGAGCGGGAAGACCAAGGGCACAGCCGACAAGCTCCTGGTCCTGGGCTGCCCCACATTACGGGCCTTGATCTGAGGATCTGCCTCCCTCAGAGGGCCTAGAAAAGCGACTCTCTGCCAAGAGGTGACCCAAGCTCCAGAGGGAGCACGAGTCACCTTGGGGCAAAAATGCCAAGAAAGCAACAAAGTGATTATTGTCCTTGTTCAGTGGAGTACAGGGATCGTCTTGGCTGAGCGGGAGTGCTGGCCCTTGGAGAGCACCCTACAGTGTAACTGATACCCCAGGTTTCCCACCAGTTGACAAGAAACAGTGGGAAGTGGGGTCTAGAGCACAGTTTCTGCCATAGAAGGCCTGGGCTTGCATCTTGTCTCTGCCTTTATCAGCTCCATGAACTCGAGCAAGTTACAGAAACTCTCTGCCTCAGTTTCTTCATCTGAAAAATGGGAGTGCTAATAAAGTCTGCCTCGTCAGATTCCTGTGTGCATTAAATGACATAATACACACGAACCCTGAGAGCAGGGCCTGGCACATAGCAAGGGCCCAACGGTATCAGCTGCTATTATCTATCACAGAATGCTAAATCATATTAATAATATTAAGTGTTCAAACTTTTGTTGGTCGGTTTAATAGACCATTTAAAAATACCTAGTCACTGAGTGATAACAGAAATAAAAATCGACTCGCATCTTGTTTTCAAAATTGGTCCCTGTTATAGCATCTATGACCCAGCACGAGGACTTCACCTCCCTCCATGGCCAAGAACTATTCTCACATATGGAAGGACCACATTTTGTACATCCATTCACCAGGAGGAACTTTCAGATTGTTTCCACTTTAGGGTTATTAGGAACACATTCGTCTGTAAGTTTCTGTGCGGTCACATGCTTTCCTTTCTCCTGAGTGTATGCCTAGGGCTACGGTTGCTGGGTCATATGGTAACTCTATGTTTCACTTTTTGAGGAGCCACCAAAGGGTTTCTCCAAGTGGAGGTACCATTTTATATTCCCATCAGCCAGGCGTGAGGGCTCTGACTTCTCCACATCCTCACCAGCACTTGACATTACCTGAGTTTTTGATTCTAGCCAACAGACTGGGCGTGAAATAGAATGTCTTTGTGGATGTGCTTTGCATTTCCCTGATGGGTAGTGATGTGACACACATTTGCACTGAGAAAATTCAATGACATAACCAAGTGGCCACATTTGCATATGCTGTTGACTATTGGTATCTCCTCCATGGAGAAATATCTGTGCAGATCCTGTGCTCGTTCTTTAAGTGGGTTATTGGACTTTTTATTATTGACTTCTGAAAGTCCTTTATGATTCTAAATGCAAGTTTCTTATCAGATGTATCATTTGCAAATATCTCCTCAGTTTCTGTGGAAAAACGGTGCTTCTTAAAGATAATTTCGCCTTTAAAATATGCCTAGCCTTATGTTCTATTTCTATACTGGGAAGTAATCAAAAATGAAGCCAAAGTTTCATAACACTGGGCATGCATTACAGATTTCTAAAAATGGAATAGACACAACTGTAAAATAAAATAAAAGTGTTACTGTATGTGATTACCTAAGCATATAGAATAAATTTAGAAAGAATTATTTCTTTTGTCCTGTGATTACTAACTGTTTAATGAAATCATGATAGAACCATAGAATGAAAAACTTCATGCCCATTAAACTTTATGGTGTAAAAATAATTTCAATACCATAAAAATGACAATGTTAAGGACATAAAAATAAGTATTCTATGCTCATGTGAAAACGGATCTTATAAAATAAAGCATAAAGCAGGCTGCCATTTGTGTATGTGACCACGCTGGCGAATGTATCAAAATGCCAAATGGGATTAAATATTCACCCATTCATTCATGTGTTCATTTATTCTTTCTAGAAACATTTATGTTGAGCCAGACACAATGCTCGGTAATAAGGATGCGAGAGGGTAAAAGGCAGATATGGTCTCGGCCCTCAGGGAGTGCACAGTTTGGCATAAATGTTAAGGATTATCTTTTGCAAACAGACTTCACTTTTGCAATTCAGCAGCTTAAAACTTGCCAGCAGCTCTGACTGTCCTTAGGATAAAGTCAGGAGTTATAACCTGTGCACAAAGCTCCCTTAATGATCTGGCAACAGTCAAGCTCCTTCCCACCCAGGCCTATAAAGTGTTCCTTCTGGCTAGAAGGCATGTCAGCGGGGGCGCCTGCTTCTCATTGTGTGCCTTGGCAGAAGCAGCACCTTTTAAAGAACACCCCCTAATCCCTTGATCAAGTTAAGCCTCTGTGAATACGCCCTCTGTGCACACCGAACTTCCCCCCGAAGCACCTGTCACACCTGTAATTTATCACAAACAGTAGTAATTATTAACTACTGTGAGCTTCCTGAGGGAGGGGATCAGTTTCTCTTCCAACATTCTGAAATTTTACAACAGTCTTGATGGCCACTGGACCACATACATAGCAAAGACCTTGGAATACTTAACATCAGAAGAGTTAGCATTTAGTAAGCACGTCCTATGTACAAGGCACTATGTTAACTTCAGTCCAGTAAATTTACTGCTTTCCTCTGGGAAAAGTTGGGGAAGGATGCAGAGACTCAAAAACTATTCCGCATCAGAGGATCATTCATAAGAATGAGGAAATGTGAACAACGCAAGTGTCCAGCAATACAGGACTAGTTCACTATTTCACGGTCATAGCCGTGTAATTAAATACAAGGCAGGCATTTAAACGGTTGGGGAGAAAATATTCAATGACAGAAACAAGTGGCCATATCATTTCTTAAGAGCGAGGAAAAGCTATTGAGCAACAGCCACGGGGTAAAGTTTACTGGGAAAGGATGGATTATTTGTGAAAATACCCATTCATTGTCTCCCTTCCTTCTCTCAAAGCTTCTGAGGTACCCCAAGAAATCCAGCCGTTAAGTTTCTTCTTTGAAGGACGACTTATTTCACTTCCTTAGAAGAAGGGGAAGTAGGTCTCCTTATTAAAACGAAAGTCATCCACCCGGCAGGGGGATAAAAAGGCTGAGTGTCTGGAAGGTAGAGGCTGGCTGTGTGTGGGCAGCGTGGGAGCCGTATACAGCGGGGAGATTGTATGGACAGGCTGACCTGGGCTGTGCATTGACGGGCACCGGCTGCTTCCACAGTCAACCTGGGGACGAGAAGCCCAAGCCCTCAGGTGGACAAACGTGAGACTTACCAGCAGTGCTTGTGGGTGATGAGTGCCACCAATATGGAAGGGAAATGAAGGGATTTTAGGATTTTACTGGGAAAGTTTTCATTCTATGGTCATTAGTTTGTAAGGAAACGTAACAGCACACAAGTCTCTCCCTGACCGCAGCACTTCTCAGAACCTGGACAATTCCAGTGGAATGGCCCAGATGGGCGAGAGTATGCAGTTACACTGCGCAACAGACTTGGCACTGAAAGTTTTCACTGTGGGGCAAAGGAAACCTTGGGGATTACTCTCCCAACGGGATAGGATTCTTGAACGCACAAGCCGTGGTAGGAGTTTTCCTTGGTCGTATTTCTCAAATGATCCCAATGCTGACTTGAGCAATTGCTCTCCTCCGAAATGAACAGAGGAGACCAAAAATCCTTCCGCTGCTGCGTCTCTGGGCAAACCTGGCAGCGGACAGTGGCAGGGGACCCCGGTGGGCCCTGAGGCTAAGCTAAGTTGGAGCCCAAGTCCTGGGGACTCAGCTGGTCACTGTAACAAATACCAGAGTCCTTGAAGAGAAGGGCCAGACCTCTTCTTTAGTTTCTAGAAACATGAGAGTTGAATTCCAGAGAGGAAGCATGCTGGGCTGGGATACAGCTACTCACCCGGGGTGGTCGTAGTGCTTTGTACTCCTGCAAAAAAGAGAGGACACGTCGTCAGTCCCTGGGAAGACGGTGCAGAAAGAAGCCTTATGGGATCCAGAGAACCAGAAATGCTGAGTGCCTGACCCCCTGTCGCTAAGAAGACTTTCAGAGAGGGGTCCCGTGGTAGCCTCACAGAGGATACCACCAAAAAAAAAAAAAAAGAAAAAAGTACTGCAGGAATTTGTTCTCACAACTTTTATGCCCACTAACACACGGCTGTTCGACGGGCTGGTAAAGATGCTGTGTCCTCCCGTGAAACTCAGCCACATCAATATGGTTGGTGATTGGTGATGCACGTTCCTCTCAAGCTAAGAGGGGAAATGGCCGCCCTTCAGCAAACTCAGGAAGATGAAGCGACAGTGAGAGAAAAGAGCTCTTCTAGAGAATTAACAAGCCAAAGTAGAGGCTCAAAATCTTGAGGACCCACCTGAGCAGACGACACCAGCATCTTCTCTGTGGCCACAGTTGTGCGAGTTCCAGCCGTTGTGAGGGCAGCGCCACAGGTAGGCCTCATGCCCGGAGCAGCGCACGTCATCCAGCACAATGGGCCCTGAGCCTTGACCAAACCGGGCACTTCCGGGGGCCGACGTGGCAGCCGCAGCCCAGCTGCCTGCACACCACGTTGGCGTCATTGGTGTCCCAGCTGTCGTCACACACGGTGCCCCAAGAGCCTCGGTACAGGACCTCCACGCGGCCCTGACAACGGTCACCTCCGTTCACCAGCCTCAGGGCCAAACCTGAATCAGTCCCTGAGGAATCCAGAACAGAAATCCCCCTTCATGTCTATCTCAAGCTCATAAGCTCAGAACATTTGTAAGACCCAAGGCTTGATCCTGGCCTAATCCCCTGGGCACGGAATGACCTTCAACATGCCAAAGGTCAATCGTCAGCACAGGGAAGAGCAGAGACATCCCAGTCAGCTCAAGGCTGAGGACGCTCCACTGAAAGAAGCAACCCAGGACCTGGATGGAAGTGAGGGGCTGGACAAGCCTAATGTGTCCTGGGCACACCCAGCATAGAGCTCTCCAGCCATTGGGGCATGACGGGAGCCGTGCCTCAACGGACAACTTCTAGTCTTCCGTAGCATCCTGACTTGGTTCTCCAACATCCCAGGATGGGATGCCCCTCGGGAAGAGAGGGACCAGCCCAGCACATGGCCCTCTTCTTCTCAGGGCTCGACCCCATGGCCCGGGAGCCACGAGACCAGCATGGTTCCAGCAGTCCTAGAGAGGCCTCCAGGGCTTCCACGGATCCCCTTGGGGAGGACCTTTGCTGAACGTGAGCCCAGGATCCCCATGGAATGAGTGGGCCACCCTGTAAGATCAGACCCCAGATCTGATCTTCAGAGAATTCTCTCTCTATCCCCCAGCGACACACAGGCACACACACTCACACACACAGGGAGGAGGATAGGGAAGGACACATTATGCGATGCCTCCTGTCACTTCCAAACCCAAGCTTTATCTAGAAGCTGAGAACGATCCTGGGAGGGTGGACAAAATATTTACCGAATTCTGTGGTTGAAGCTGTGGTGGTCGTGAACCAGGTGGTGTCTGTATAGGGCAAGAAAGGTAAAGACCACAGTTAGACATCATGGAAAGCATTTTGTGAAAACCATTTGTGGCAGGCATTGTGAAAGTTGCCCATCTGCATCCTGCCACCTTCCCCCTGCTTGGGCTGTGCAAGTCTCCTGCTCTGCTAGCTTTTCCGGGACAGAGGATCGGAAGGACAGCCAGGTGCCTCCACATCTCTAAGCCCGGCTTTCTCTTTTGTCCCGCAGAAAACGTTTGCCACCCTTCTCTCTTGACTCATGTAGATCTGAGGGCTTTGGCATATCGGGGCTTGAAGAAAAGAGTCAGGGGTGTTGAGGGTCACCATGGAGCCAACTGGGTATCCCAGTTCCTAGAGCACCTCCATCACTATGAGATTCCCATCCCCTGCAACTGTTGTCCCTGCCTCGTTGGATGCACATCTGTGTCCAAGAATCTGAGGCTGTTGCAAGCATTGAGCCAGGGACAAGAGCCAGACTGTCCTGGTCCCTCTTCAGGAGGACGTTGGTAGTCCTCAGCGTCCATTCTCCCACTCTGCCTCTCAGCCCAGATTGTATGAGAGCTGAGATTCATGGCACATGGGCCGGTTCTCTGAAACTGCAGGCTGCCATCTCTTGAGACAGTTTCCATATACTGGATGAAACTCATGGGAAGGTGACACTTGGGAATCCCACATCCAGTTAAGACTCTTGTGAATCCCACATCTAGTTACGATCTGCCAGGGTCTCAGTGACAGTGGGGAACATTAAAAGTCCACAGGTTCTGGGGCGCCTGGGTGGCTCAGTGGGTTAAAGCCTCTGCCTTCGGCTCAGGTCATGATCTCAGGGTCCTGGGATCGAGCCCCGCATCGGGCTCTCTGCTCCGCGGGGAGCCTGCTTCCTCCTCTCTCTGCCTGCTTCTCTGCCTACTTGTGATTTCTCTCTGTCAAATAAATAAAATCTTTAAAAAAAAAAAAAAGTCCACAGGTTCTACAAAGAGCTGTAGTTTGACCAGCATGACGGAAGTAGAGTAGGTGGGAGAGAAAAGCGTGAGTGGGGTGGCTGAGGACTCACCTGGCTGGATTGTGGACTGAGGCCGAGCAGCTGAGAGAAAGAAGCAAGAGTCAGACACATAGCACACAGGTGCCCCAACCTGACCAAAGTTTGAAGAAACTCAGCATATAACACCTGAGTCATGTTTCTACATGCCCTCAGGCAGACAGAGCCAGGGCCAGCCCTGAATCCCTCCGTCCTCTGGGAGCCCCACCCTCTGTCCTGCTGATACTGCCTGCTTTGGTGGGCCAGAGGGTTGGTGTTCCAGGAAGTGGAACGTCCTTGCCTGTCCTAGACGGGCCATCAAAGGCATTGTGTTCCCTTTGCATAGGAACATCAAGAATGAATTGGGGCATTTAGTCTAGAAGTACCCCCAATTCCACCTGACGAGGTACACTGCTCCCAAGTTACACAAGGTTTTTTAGGGTTCCTGTAAGGGGCCAATCCAAGCCTCATATTCCTATGTGTTTCTTTAGCATTCCATGTCGTATGATGAGGGAACAGAAGGCTGGCTGAGGACAAAGCAAAAGCTGACACCCTGCAACCTTTCCCCACCCCCACTCCTGGGTGGGACATATGTGACATTCTTTAGGAACCTCTGTTCTATCTTAATGTTAATACTTGCTAAAAAGGGAAAAAGGACCTTGACAATGACAAGGCCTCTGGTATCCAGTATCTTGCAGGTCCTCTTTAGTTATGAAAGTTCTATTGAAACCTCCCATTTCCTTACCTCCCCAACCCCATCCTACATATCGGCCACCCCTCACAACTCGGTGGCAGCAGCTTTTTTTGCCTACGGGACCTGTCCCCAGGCTACAATAAACCACCATTTTGCACCAAAGATATCTCAAGAATTTGTTCTTGGTCATCAGCTCAGGTCCTCCACCCAACTCACTTTTATTCTAGAAATTCATCAGTAGTGAGCTGCCATTCCTTGTACCTTCCCCAGTACCCTACTGCTCCTCCCAGCCCCCTGAAATCTGGCGTTGACTGCAATCCTGTTCTCTGAGTCAGCTTCATGGAGGACCCAGAAGAATACAACCATGAAGGACAGAAAGTGGTTTATGTTCCAAGTGTACTCCCAAAAGTTATGCCTTGATAATCAGGCCCTGGGACGAGTGGTGTGGGCAGAGCAGATGATCTTACCAAGAAGGAAGAGACCCATTTTTTTCTGCTCACTGGATAGTGGATGGCCCTTTCCCCCAGTATGCCATGTTGTTGCCCAGTGATATTGCCCTTCTCTATTGGCCAAATATGGAAGGACAGCAGACCCTACACTCTCTTTCCATTGTACTCAGTAACCGGATGCCTGCAGGAAAGCTTGGGAGGCACAGAATACCTCAGAGAGGATTGGATGTGGGCCTTGTCGTGGGTAGTGTGTTTCCTCCCATCCAAGACCATCTCAGAAAGAGCTACGGGTCTATTTCATCCCACCTGAGCAGACGACACCAGCATCTTCTCCATGGCCACAGTTGTGTGAGTTCCAGCCGTTGTGAGGGCAGCTCCACAGGTAGGCCTCATGCCCAGAGCAGCGCACATTGTCTAGGACAATTGGCCCTGAGCCTTGACCAAACCGGGCACTTCCGGGGGCTGACATGGCCCAGCCACACTCAAGCTGCCTACAGACCACATTGGCATCATTGGTGTCCCAGTCGTCATCACACACGGTGCCCCAGGAGCCTCGATACAGGACTTCCACACGACCCTGACAACGGTCACCTCCGTTCACCAGCCTCAGGGCCAATCCTGAATCAGTCCCTGAGCAATAAAGAATAGAACACCCCCTCTGAGTATATCTCAAGATCATAAGCTAAGAAATTTGTAAGGTCCAAGGGTTTGTTCCTGGCCCAAGTCCCCTGGGCAGGTTTTGACCTTTCAACATGCCCAGAGGTTAATCTTCACCACAGTAAAAGAGCGGAGACATCCCAACAGCTCAAGGCTGAGGACGCTCCACTGAAAGAAGCACCCCATGACCTGGATAGAGGTGAGGGGGTAGACAAGCCTAGACCACACTGGGAGCACTCAGCATGGAGCTCTATAGCTACTTGGGCATGACAGGACCTGTGCATGAATGGGCAACTTATTGCCTTCCATGGCATGCTGACTTGTTTCTACCAACATCCCAGGAGGTGATGCCCCTTGCAATGAGAGGTGCCAGCCCAGCACATGGCCCTCCTCTTCTCAGGGCTCAAACACATGGTCTGGGAGCCATGAGACCAGCATGGTTCCAGCAGTCCTAGAGAGGCCTCCAGGGCTTACACTGAGCACCTAGGGGAGGATCTTTACTGAACCTGAGCCCAGGATCTCAATGGAATCAGTGGGCCACCCTATAATATCAGACCCCAGATCTACTCTTCAAAGAATTCTCTCTCTATCCCCCAGCTACACACATGCAAACACACTCACGCACACACACACAAACACCGGGAGGAGGATAGGGAAGGACACATCATGAGATGCCTCCTGTTGTTTCCAAACCCAAGCTTTATCTAGAAGCTGTGAATGTTCCTGGGAGAGTAGAGGGCAGACTAAATATTTACCGAAATCTGTGGTTGAAGCTGCGGTGGTGGTCAACCACGTGGTGTCTGCATAGGGCAAGAAAGGAAAGACCACAGTTAGATAGCATGGAAAGCATTTTGTGAAAACCGCATGTGGCAGGCATTGTGACAGTTGTCCGTCTGCATCCTGCCTCATTCCCCCTGGGTGGGCTGTTCAAGTCTCCTGCTCTACTAGCTTTCCCAGGACAAAGCCATTTGGGACGCCAACCAGGTGCCTCCACATCTCTAAGCCTGGCTTGCTTTTTGTCCTGTAGAAGATTTTTGCAACTGTCTCTCTTGACTCATGTAGATCTGAGGGCTTTGGCATAGCGAAAACTTCGAGAAAAGAGTGAGGGGCATTGAGGGACACCACGGAGCCAAAAGCTCTCTCAGGACCTAGAGCACCTCCATCACCTGGGACACTCCCATCCCTTGCAACTGCTGTCCCTGCCTTGTTGGAAACACATCTGTGTCAAAGGAATCGGAGGCTGACCCTGACCCAGGGACAGGAGCCAACCTGACCTGGTGGCTCTTTGGTAGGAAGATGCCAGTCCTCAGCATCCATTCTCCCAATCAACCTATCCCGCCCGGATTACATGAGAGTGAGATTCATGGTGCATGGGCCAGTTCTCTGAAAGTGCAGGCAGCCATTTATTGGGACAGTTTCCCAATACTGGATGGAACTTCATGGACTCATGGGAAGGTGACACTCTTGGGAATCTCACATCCAGTTAAGATTCTTGTGAATCCCACATATAGTTAAGAATTGCCAGGATCTCAGTGAGAGTGGGGAACATAAAGTGTCCACATAATCTACAAAGAGCTGTGGTTTGACTAGCATGACGGAAGTAGAGTCGGTAGGACATAATAGCCTGAGGACGGTAGCCAAGTACTCACCTGGCTGGATTGTGGACTGAGGCCAAGCAGCTGAGAGAAAGAAACAAGAGTCAGACACACAGCACACAGGTGCCCCAAATGGACCAAAGGTTGAAGAAGCTCAGTGTATACTGCCTGAGATCACACTTTCCACATGCCTTTGGGTGGACAGAGCTAGAGCCCGCCCTGAATCCCTCAGTCCTCTGGGAGCTCCACCCTCCCATTGCTTGCCTTGCTGGGCCTTAGTACTACTGTTCCAGGAGGAGGAATGTCCCTGCCAGGCCCAGCACAGACTATCAAAGACATAGTGTTCCCTCCGTAGAGGAGCAACAAGAATGATTCAGGGCAGTTAGTTTAGAAAGAGCCAAATTCCACCAGCCCAGGTGCAATGCTCACCGGCTTCTCAAGCTTTCTCGACCTTTCTGCAGTGGGCCAGGCTCACTCTCCATATTTACATCAGACTCATTAGCTTTCCATGTTCCAGTGATCTGCCATTCCCTTCAGAGTAGCTCACTTCGAAACTGCTCTTTATAGCCCTCCCAAATTCAAAGTGTAGACCGCAATCCTGTTTTCTGAGTCAGCTTCATGGAGGACCCAGAAGAATACAACCATGAAGGAAGGTGTTTTTTTTTCTAATTGTGTTCCCAAAAGTTGTGCCTTGATCATCAGGCCCTGGGAAGAGGGTTGTGGGTAGAATACATGATCCTACCAAGAAGGAAGAGACCCATTTTTTCTGTTCAGTGAATAGTGGATGGCCCTTTCCCCCAGTATGCCATTTTGTTACCAAGTGATATTGGTTCTTTTCTGTTGGCCAGATAGGGAGGACAGTGACCCAACTCTTTCCTTTCCAGTCACTCAGTAGCCAGCTGCTACCAGGAAACCTTGGGATTCATGGAATACCTCAGAGAGGGTTGGAATGTGGGTCTTATCGAGGGTAGTGTGTTTCTTCCCATTGAAGATAATCTCAGAGAGAGATAATGGTATATTCATCCCCACCTAGTGTCATGAGCAGACGACACCAGCATCTTCTCCATGGCTCTAGTTGTGGGAATTCTAGCCATTGTGAGGGCAGCTCCACAGGCAGGACTCATGCCCAGAGCAGCGCACGTTGTCCAGCAGATTTGATCCTGAGCCTTGACCAAACTGGGCACTTCCTGGGGCTGACATGGCCCAGCCACAGCCCAACTGCCTACAGACCACATTGGCATCGTTGGAGTCCCAGCTGTCATCACACATGGTGCCCCATGAGGTACAAGACCTCCACATGGCCTTGACAACAGTCACCTCCATTCACCAGGCTCAGTTTCAAATCTGACTCAGTTCCTGAGGGATAAAGAACAGAAATCCCCCACTGAGTGTATCTCAAGGTCATAAGCTAAAAACTTTTGTAAGACTCAGTGACTTCTTTCTAGGTTATGTCCCCTGGGCAGGTTATGACTTTTCAGCATGCCCAGTGCTTAATCTTCAGCACAAGTAAAAGAGCAGAGACATCCTAATCAGCTCAAGGCTGAGGATGCTCCACTGCAAAGAAGCACCCCATCACCTGGATGATGTGGGGGGGGGGGGTGGACAAGCCTAATCCACCCTGGGCACACCCAGCATGGAGCTCTACAGCTACTGGGGCATGCCAAGACCCATGCATGAATGGGCAACTTATTGCCTTCTGTGGCATCCTGACTTGTTTCTGCCAACATCCCAGGAAGTGATGCACCTTGGGAAGAAAGGTGCCAGTCCAGCACATGGCCCTCCTCTTTTCAGGGCTCTATCTCATGGCCTGGGAGCCACAAGACCTGCATGGTCCCAGCAGTCCTGGAGAGGCCCCCAGAACTTACACTGAGCACTGTGGGGAAGATCTTTGTAATAAACCCAGGATCTCAGTAGAATTAGTGGGCTATGCTCTAAGATCAGATCCGGGACCTGATCTTCAGAGACTTCTCTCTCTATTCTCAGCTCTGCAACCACACACACACAGGGACAAGGATAAGGAAAGACACACCCTGAGATGCCTCCTGTCACTTGCAAACCCAAACTTTATTTAGAAGCTGAAAATGATCCTTGGGTGGTGGATTGAAATATTTATCTATATCTGTTGTTGAAGATGCAACGCTGGGGATCCAGGTGGTGGCTGTATATAGTAACAAACGTAATGACTAGAGTTAGACATCATGGATAACAGCTTTTGAAAACTGTTTTCTGCAGGGTCACATGGGATCTTCCTTTGTGCTATATGTATACAACACCCTTTTAACCCATTCCCTGGACGTCTCCCTGTATAAGGGTGAAACCCATGTATACAGTTGGTATAATTACCTTCAGAGGGAGAACCAAATAAAATTATTCATTACCTATTGTACTAGTAGCCATAGTATCCTCTATAGTGCTATCTGCATAAACAAATTGTAGAAGGACAGGGAAAAACAGAAAATGTAAAGTTAGGTCCCCTATGAGGAGATTCAAGGACTGAAATTAAAGTAGAATCTGCTAAGAGATATCATCTCTGACTTGGATTTTATCTTGTTATGGAACTTTAGAAAAGGGAACAGACCATGCCAACCTCAAACTCTTTCATTCTATAAGGCTCTTTTGAAGGAATATCTCTTTACCAACCTACTGACCTTGATACCATCTCACATGTGACCAGTGCAGGGTTCTATGAATAGATGGGAAAATAACTTTTCTAATCCTTATGCTTCCAATTGATTTCCCTTGTCTAATTGTATTGGCTAGTATCTCTAGTACACTGTTAAATGACGAGAGGCCTGAATGCCATTCTTGCCTTTTTACTTTGTTTACCCATTAAGTAAGATTATGGCTTTAAAACTATTATTTTCAAATTGCTTCAAGAAACTGTGCTCTTTGCCCCATTTCCCAGTAAGAGCCTACTGGGTGTTAGGGCTTCAAGAGAATATGACCTGATGGCTCCTCTTAGTCCACTGCCACCAGAGCATTCATTGTATGTCTGAACGCCCTGCTGGGCTTCTACATGAGGTTTTTTTTGGATCTAGAGGAAGTATGTCTCCCACCTCCACCCCACAGTTGAGGTTCTGCAAGAGTAGTTCTAGGTAAGGCCTATCTGGAGTCCTCTGTCATAGTTAGATAGCCAAGCCCACTTGCACCCTGGATGGACTAGTTGTGCAAAAGAACTTGTCAGGCCCAGCGATAACTCCTAATACATAGCAGGGCTCTCATGGGAAGCTACTGTAGAGAGGAGTAGATTCTCCTCTTATAACTGCTGCAAATAAGAATCTTGGGAGAGACATGGTTAAATTATAATAAAGTCAGTCTCATCCTTAGCTCTAGTGACATCCGTGTCCTTAATAATAGGGAATAGAAAACAGTCAAGTCAGACGTCACCCCATGGGCTTAGGGACAGGAAAGCATAACAGTTGAGGAACAGAAATGCCTGACATGTGTACCATTAAGATTCCCAAGTAATCCATGCTAACTTCTGGTCAGGGGCCTTCATGGGAAGGCTATCCTTCTCTTGTCCTAGGGTCAAAGTTTCCCATGGGATATAGGCAGTGACTTTCCCTCCCAAAGCTCGGGTTGCCAAAAACTTGAGCTGTATTGATTACCTCTCAGCTCTCTCATTGGCAGTGCCCCCAGGGGGGTGGAGGATGCATGGGACCTCTGATGCATCTGCCTTTCCAGGCCCTGCAGCCAGAGACCCAGCATCCCAGTCTGTCCAGGCATCAGCATGCAGTGGTGAGGACCACAAGGGTAGGCACTGAGCATGAGCAATAGGACCCCCCCTAAAGCCTGGACACCAAGCTCGACCTTGGAACTCCCTGGAAGTAGATGTGCAGGTCTATCCCTTCCCAGTCTCAGGGACATGGCCCATGGAAGGGCTACCCATTTAGGCCTGAGGCCTTGTTCAGAGGTTCCCTCTTGGGAACTGAGCACCCCTATCTCTTAAACCTTTTGTACCTCTTCTGGATCAGAGATGACCTCATGAGTTCAGGTAATGAGGCCATAAGGATCCCACATAAATGCAATGTTACCTTCTGCCTCAGTGGTTGCCAGAGATGCCTCTGTGGGAGACAAAGAAGCTACCGAGTGGAGGACAGAAGAGGTCATTTGACGCTGGCTCTCATTTGAGAAGAGCTGGCCTTCTGCTTCCTCAGCTCTGAAACAAGGGCTGGATGCAGTGACCCTACCCACTGCTAAAAGTCTGCGTTTCTTACTTACAAGACAGAGTTCATCTCTCTGCCATTTTGCCAGCCCTTATGCAATGCTGGAATGCTACCAGAGATGTTTTTTGCTCCTGTCATCAACCTCCCATCCCTCTGCATCTGCTGTCTCCAACAAAAAATCACCCCATTGATGAACAGCCCCACCTGATTAACAAGCTCACATTTCAAATTCCAAATTCTTATTTCTATAGCTTATCTACCCCCTCAGATGAGAAATATCTACCATTGCTGAGAATTCCTGGAAGGTGGCCCCAACTAAGAAGAAAGGCAGTTTTCAAGGAGGCATCCCCAAATGCTAAAATAAACCCACTCCAAAGTGATTGCTTGGAGGGCCATACTCTCTGGCAGAAGCCATTCTCATGTCATAGTTGGATTATCAGGGTCACATCCCGTGCATGGTGGCATGTGCACATACCAATCCACAGAGCAAATGCCAGAGGTCTCTCTAAAGATGGACAACTCAACTAGGAAACCCCCTTTGGGGGACACAATGATTGTTATCTTCAGAGTTTCCTTGTGGATTAAAGGACCTCTTGGTATGTGACCACCAACCAGCCTTCTGTGAACAAAGGAGAAAGTCAGCATTGGGTTTCCCTAGGTTGGGTCAGGAAGAATTTCTGTCTTCCATTGCAGGTGTATATATCTCTAGCAGGTCCTTTAATCCCCAATAAAGAGAACATACTGTTTACTTCTCTGTTTGATTTAGATTTAAGTTTTAAGGACCAGACTTCTCTAGTCCTTCTCTCCTGACTGCAAAAGGAGGAGAAAATGCCATGTAGAAAGGTATTTTGTCACGCCAGGGCAGGATCCTCAGAACAACACCACTGGGTGAAGGCAGGGGCAAACTCTGGAGGAGGCTGAGGTTGAAAGCCGCTTCTACCACTTCCCCAGCTTTAAGACTCCAGGCAAGCTACTTGCCCTCTCTGAGCCTCCATTTATCTGAAAAGGGACCTTCCCTCTAACATCATAAGACATGACCTAGAGTAAAGCAGGTAAAATACAAAGCACTGTCCACATGCAAGGGGATGTTAGATCAGCAGGAGCCCCTATTGTCCAAGTGGCACGGTTAAGGTGAGGGCAGCTCTACCTGAGCACATGACTCTGGATTCTTCCCTGTGGCCACATTGGTATTTGTACCACCTGCTGTGGGAGCAGCTTGACAGGTAGGGCTCCCATCCTGAGCAGTATACAAAGCCCAAGAGAATGTTCCCCGAGTCCTGACCAAAGTGGGCCCCGCCTGGTGCCGACACTGCAAGGCCACAGCCGAGCTGCCGACAAACAACATCTGCGTTCTGCATGTCCCAGTCGTCACCACACACGGTGCCCCAGTAGCCTTGGTGCAGGACCTCCACACGACCCTGACACCGGTCACTTCAATTCACCATCCTCAGAGGCAAACCTGCATTGACACAATAGAAAGCCCTCATCCACTAGCTCTGCCTCCCTGGTTTTCACTCACCAGCACCCCCTGGTCTCCTCCTTCCTCTCACCACTGCCCCATCTCCTTCACCTGTTTTCTCCCCTCCCACACCTTAAATGTTGCTGCTCTCCCAAGCACTGTCTTAGGTCTCTTCTCATGCTGTCTTCCCTCTGAAAGAGCTCATGTACTCTGAGAACTTTCTAGAAAGAAGACCCCAAAATCCACCTCTCCCATGCTGATCAGCCCTTACAACCCCAGCCAAGCTCTAGACCAACATTTCCAGTGGCCTCCTGGACATCCACCCCATGTCCCAAACCCAACACAGTCTCTTTCTTCCACTTGAATCAACAGTGTCACCATGCTCCACAAGAAATGTGTTGGGAATCTGGTTGCTATATTTGATTCCTCCCCTTCTGTACTTCTTATACCTAACTTATCAACAAGATTCTTTCTTTTTATACACACCACCATTTTGCTAGATTAGATCTTCTTATTCTTGAACCTGGCCTACTCCAGGGGCCTGCCTGTGGATCTCCCTTTCCCTGCCCCTCCCTCTGTAATCCATCCACATTGGTGGATTCAATAAGCATTTATGGAATGTTTACTCTGTGCCCACTCCTATGCTGACAGGATTTACCTCTCTCCCCTAGAATGTCCCAAGTTTTACCTTATAAAATGCGGATATGTTCAACTCACTTCCCTACTCAAAATGCCTCAATGTACTTTCCACTGCCATCAGGGTCAAGTCTCAGCACTCATCCAAGAGTGGGCCTCAACTCACCTTTCAAGCCTCCTGTGAGGGCTGACAGAGCCCGAGTGCCACCATAATGGGCACCATGCTCCTGCCTGACACGAGCCCGCTAAACCACCTCCACTAATTATGCAAGCAAAACAGAGAACGGGTCTTGAGAGATCCAGCCCAACATCATGACAGCATGAGGTGAGTCCTAGGTATGGCTTTTCAGTGGTTAGTTTGAATTTATGAGAAATCTATGGTCAGGGAGTGACCAGAGAGGTTGGAATGAGATGTAAGATGAGGGGGCAGGTGGTTTCTGTGGTTGTTGTAAGGTTGTTGTAATGAAAAGCCAACTGGGCTCTTTCTAGAGTGCTCCCAAGGTGCACTGCAGGCCTCCTCAGCCCTTCCTGCTGTCCTCTTTGGTCACTCCTGTGAATGTCCCTGCAGAAGAGCTCTCAGTCTCCCTGCATCAACCTGCCCTTTGCTGGGTGTCAATCACCAGAAAGCTCTGTTAAAGCCTCTCCCAGGTCACTTCTGGACTCTCAGAGCATGCTCTGAATGGGCAGGGATTAGCCTCAACAGAGCCAAGAATTCCATGTCAGGGTCCACTGTCCTAAGAAAGCATATCAAGGTCTGACATATCAAATTCAGTGCAAAGTGTGTGGATTCCCTCAGAGGATGAGGAGAGATGGATAGATTTAGTAAGAATAGTGGACAGAGGCAAAGTTGCCTGTTCTGAGTTCAAATTTCTGCCTAGACACTTAGTCACCACGTGACCTTGGACATATAGCTGTTTACAAGTGACCTAACTATGCCACAGTTTCCCCATCTGCAACTTGGGGGTAATAATACTGCTTACCTCAAAATGTTGGAAAGATTTCATGACCATAGTGCTTACTATGTGCATTTGTTGAACTCTTATTATGCACCAAGCAGTTAAATGATTTTTTCTATATTAACTTATTTGGTATATGAAAATAATTTTGTGCATGGTACACAACAAATGTTTGTGGGATGTTAGCAATCTTCCAGATAACTGTCACTAGTGGTAAGAAGAGGCACTGGCTTTTTATCATCCATGTCTCGTGACACAAAGCTGAAGCTAATCCCATGCACCAAATGATTGAGAGAAAGAGAGAAGAAGGAAGGAAAGTGACAGATGAGACTGGCTGAGTGTGCATCTGGGACATGCCTAGGGTCTCAGCATCATCTGACCCCTTCCTTCCCATCCCTGCGTTCCAAAGGGCAGGCATTTGTTCTGTGGCCAAAACTGTACTCAGCCTCAACAAGCCAACAGCAACAGCAGAACTGACTGGCCTTGCCAGTAAGCAAACCTCTAGGAAGACAAGTAAAGAAAAAAAGGTCTTCCCATAGTCTGTAGTTGAGAAGCTCCCCAGACCTAGAAAGAAAACAAATTCATCTTGGAATGGAGGTTCCACTCTTTGTAAATGATCTACAGTCACAGAAATTGGCTTGAGTATCACCTTACGATCGTGCCAGGGGGCACGGTGGCTCACTCTTGGGTCTGTGCCTCCTGCATTCTTGCAAAGTGTTCTGGATTTTGCAATAGTAGATTACAAGTGGGTTGGATGTGGGGTGTTGAATAATTTTAGATGTAATAAAGTACATGTCTTTTTACTCTGTCCCCTAATGCTACAGTTTATAGTTACAGGATGTAATCTGTGCTCAGAAGAAGGGCAGGACAAGAAAAGGCAGTTCAGACTGGTTGTCAAGGACTCTGGATGCCAGTTAATCCTCACTCCAGTCTGAAATTTGAGTGGAGTTAGCATTTGGAATAGCCACACAGAGTCTCCCTAAATAAGTACATATTTTGTTGTCCGATATCCTGTGCCTTCTGATCCATATCCTGAGAAATTTTTAATGTATTTTGAACAAAGCCAACATGCAGAGGGCCCTGGGTCTTATTATCCATGAGACCACTCTAAAGCACTCTATGCCCCTCCACTTCAAGTTAACCCTTAGGACATCTTCAAGGTCCATCAGACTCAATTTTATTTCTCGAGTTTCTTTTTCCAGCAGGTCTCACTCTGTGAGGATTGATATTTCATGACTTTTACATGTTTCAAAAGGTCTTCCAAAGAACAAAAAGAATATTCATTCGTGTAAAGAAAATAGAATAAAAATCATTGTATCTTATAGTCACTATATGGATTCATTGGATCCTTCTATAAATCCAAAATACATTACAAGCTCTTAATGATCCCATTTTTCCTCTAGCTTGAAATAATCTGCTATTTCATCATTCAAGGAATTGGTCCATCATTACTCATTAATTATTAACTATCACTAAAAAAGAGTTATATAATAAGACAGTGAGAGAATGGTAGCATTATCTAGAAGAAAGATGAAGTGGTAAGATAGGTCATCATTCTTCAGTGCCCCAGATACCGCATTACCTTTCAAGAAGGTATTTTTAAAAAAGACTGGAGGCACTGTCTTTGTAAGATGCTTTCATTGACTGCAGTTAAGAACTTACACATTTTCATTGTCTATTGCCAACAGCAAAGAGAAGAAAATTGACATTGAAGATGTTTCACAAAAACTAGATGAATCAGAAGAGGAATGTAAAGAGATAGAGAGTAGCCCCGTAGATGCTAACAATAATTGTGAAATTGCTTGTACATCTGAAATCTCAGATTCTGATAATATCCTAAATGAATTTCCTCAAATTCAAAAATAAAGGAGTCACTAATATAATTTTAAGTACAAAAATAAAATATACTGCTCCCAGAGTGCCTGAGTGGCTTAGTTGATTAAGCATCTGACTCTTGATTTCAGCTCAGCTCATAATCTCAGAGTCGTGAGATTGAGCCCCACATCAGGTTCCAAGATGGGCATGGAGCCTGCTTAAGGTTCTCTCTCTCCCTCCCCTTCTGCCCCTCCTCTCTCTCTCTTTTTTTCTCTTTCCCCTCTCTAAAAATTAAATAAATAAATAAATAAATAAATAGTGCTCTCAACCACTTCAATGGAAAGGATTTCATTGGTGATATTTTGCAGCAAGATCTCAGACTATCTCCTTTTGCTAAAAGGACATATGATGGTAACTTTTATTTTTTCTAATGCTTATATACCAAAATCTACTTGCTAAAAGGAGATTGCTAGGTTTAAATTCTTATTAAAAATTCCAATGAGGTTGTTTTCATGATCCCTTTTTTCTTACTTCCTGGTATAAGGAAAGTTAAGGCATCCAACAAACTCAGATACCTTGTAAATGTGAGTCCTGCCAGGAGCAACAGTCAGAGGTTCACAGGTTGGAATCTCTCTGGTAAAACCAAGAGGTCAACGAGGGGACTTGATGCCAGAGAACTATGCCATTTGTCTCAACATATGGACCCTTGAATGTGGGGTCCACAATGCACTTCCCAGCTGCCCTACTTCATGTTGTTGATGGTCCAGTAAGAGGGCAAGTAAAGACATGTGGCTGCACATGCCTGAGGATGATGAAGCAATATGAGATAGAAACAGAGAGCAAGAACATTCCTCCAACACAGGCCACAAACCTAGGAAATATCTGTATCAGAACATCCCCACCTCATCTCTGACCATAATCATACAATTTCCAACACTCACTGTCTTAAGTGCTTCACCCACATTGTCCCTCTTGGTCCTCATGGCAACTCATAAAGGTGGGTTTCCCTCCTCTCACACAGAAGTAAACTGAAGCACTTGGAGGTAAAATAAGTTGGCCAAGGTACTATTCTTATTTCCATTTCCCAGATAGAGAAATCAGTTTGGAGAACAGGGGTCATTGCTATTACTACTCTGCCCTGAGCCATGTAATACCCATTATCTCCTGGAGCCCACCACCCCCACTCCTCAGCAAGCAGATGACCCTGGCGTCTCTCCCATGGCCATAGGCAGGATTCATTTCCTGAACAACACATGTCATCCAGGACAGTCTGTCCTGAGCTCTGACCAAACTGTGACTTCCTCAGATCCTATTCAAGGGCTTTCCATGTATCATCCTAGTTAATCTTCAAAATTACCCATGGGAAAACCAAGGCTCAGGAAGGTGACCCAAGACCGATCGACTGGTAAGTGATGAGGGGCAGGACTTTGTACTGAGGCTATTGCTGGTAACCATTTCACAGTTTGGTAGATATATATTTAACATTTGTCCTGTGTGGCCCAATCATAAGGTCTGCCATCTTGCACAAGCAAGCACACTCATGCACACACAGGACTGTAATAAGACCAAGAAATGGCAGAAGAAGTTAGCACTTAAAGCATCAACGGAGGTAGAAGTTTCC